AGGAGTTTACACACTTTAATTATTTTTTTCTTTTCATGGATTTCAAATGACATAGTGATGTTTAGTCAATTATTCAGTTTCAAATAAAAGCCAAAACGTAAAAATATTGCAATCAGAAAAGTCTAAAGTGGTGGTGACACTAGTAACTTTGTCGGCTGGGTCCCTCCAAGAAGGCCATTGAAACAGGTGAGCACCCAGCCCCTATAAATAAATATTCGTTGTGAGTTTATTTTTAGAGATACAGACATGTAACTGCTTATGTATTATCACTGAACCCTAAATATCCTTGTATGATGAATATGTCAAAATCAAATCATATCTACTTTATCTAATGGGAAAGAAATTTGGAAACTTGTGTAATGATTTTTTATTTTTCTTCATTCTTTCATATCATAAATCTTTCACTTCTGGAAGAAACTGTTATAATAAGACACTTTTAACTTCCTGTGATCCAGTTCAAAAGGTAATGTCATAATACAGTGCATCATATTCGCTCTTGTAAAGCTAGAGTTTCTAGCCTCATGCACTGCCTACATTTTTAGCTGCAGGAGTTTATATTCATGCAAGTAATTCTGCTCTCATATATGAATATGAAACTGAATATAACATGTATTCAATTACTCTGACAAAAAAAAACACCAACAGATGGGTGGGTTAGTTCCAGCCCACAGAAATTCACTGGATTCTATTGAAATTTATGGGTAGTTTGACCATACCTTGAAATGCACATCATTGTTAGATGTACACTGGAGTTTATGGGTTAATATAGATAATCTAAATGTATTATATTTGAATCTTATTAATATTCTTTTGCAGTATGCTGAGACTTGCCATTTAGTGCCATTCTCCAATATCACATTACCTTACATTGACAATTATCAAAATCAAATGTAAAAGAAAGTGAGGTTAAGATTTTACTTACAGTTGAAGAAATGCTTATGGCATCTTTATCTACCTCTGATGGTTTCCAATTCTTTTCAAATACCTATAAATATAGAAAAAAAATCAAATCAGATGAAAATCTCAACATATAAAAAATGGTTTCATTCTATCATACTTATCACCTTTTCTATTTTCCTCTAAACTACTAAAATTCTTATCAAATTCAGGTAAAAAATATGCATTTTTCAAACAATGAACTACAACTTTACAATAATATTAAAGAGCCAGAGATATTACTCACAATTCTAGCAACAGGATACTTCATGTTTGTCTTGACCCATTGTTTCCAGTACATTTTGGTATCTTCACCTTGATCTAAAAATGAGAAGCAAATGAAAGTGAAGGAAGAGAAAAATTCTTAATCAAACTAAGTACTAAGTATGAAATATACAGGTAGCCAGAAAACATATCAACTCACATATAATCAAAGGAATATTACCAAGTACATTTACTGTTTCTATGAATCATGCAATTCAGTATGAACACATTCATAATTAAGAAAGAATTTTTTTAACATAACCCATTAAATTACACCTATGGATTATAATAATAAAAAAAGAAAGATGATGATATTACTATAATGTATAAACTGGAAATAACTTTACACAGAATCTGCCTACAGCCTCTGAAATGTAAACTAGGTCTAATCAAATATACATTTCAGTAAATAAATTTAAACTATTCATCTTTGGGTAAGGGAAGAAACCAAACTAAAAAGAAAAAGGCAGAGATCTACCTGCAATTGTTGATGCCAGTCTTTTGATCAACACACTCCTCTCAGCTCTAACTTCCTCTTCTTGAGCAGTCAAACGCATTTCCTCTTCCTTCACTTCTTTGCAGACCTTAGTAGCCTGTAAATCATAACAGTCCTCTGGCTTAAACTATCCAAGAACTTGCAATTTGGTAAAAGTAGTTACTAACAAACAATGCACGTATCAGAGCAGTGCCATTGTTTTATATTACATGCAGTTATATATTTTTGTTTAAAATGCTAATAATTCAAATGACAATTCAGGCAAAAAATGCACTTCAAAATAAAATTCAAACTTGAAAACTGGAAAGACTTTTACTACTATGCACATACTCCTGTTCAAATCAGTGTGTGGCACTTACTATGCTTAGGACAGCCACCTTGGGCACAGGAACCACATCAGCAGATGATTGTTCTGGTGTGTATAAGGCCCAATACTGGAGGTTCTTGAAAAGCCTGCCCATGAGCCTTCTCCTCATTCTTTCTAGCTCATTGTGTACCACAGCACTACGTTCATCACCAATTCCTTCTATCTCTGAAAACTTTAGTTCAGCATGTTAATGATTAATACTTTAAATTCTAAAGCAGCTTCCTTTCCTTCATCTCTATGATACACAAAATGGCCATTATTCCATTTTCCTAAGAAGCAAATAAACTTTGAAAAATGCAGAAAAAATTAATTCGAACATGCTTTAGCCCAAGACGAGACTATTTAAGTCATCCAAAAACTAAACTGTAAGTGAAAGGTAATCATGCATAACACCATATCCATTGTTTAAAAGATCAGCTTTCCTTTTTACAGAATAGATCAGAATGAATAAAAGTATTAAACAGCTGCAATTCAGGATGAAAGCTAGATTTTCCCATACACATGTCCCAAAACAATATGTAGTATTTTAGCACTTTCTGCCATACCTTTAAACTTAAAGATAAGAAACATTAATTTTTCATTACTATAGGGAGTTTGAACACAATATAAATAAAACAATGTGTGAATGCTGTATGACTGTTTTACCCTTTTCTGAATACGGAGAGGATCCTTTTTCTTGAATAAAACAGGTTGAGTACTCTGTTTTGGCTTCACTGGTTGCTTAATCCCTGATGGCCCTGGACGTGGTTCTTGCTCTGTTATCCCTTTCACAATAGGAAGTGGCTGAGGAGATAGATGAAAAGTGTGGAGGTTATTATTTTATCCTCCTCCATTAGTAGTTCTTGTTGGAAAAGGAGAGCAACAGATCTTTACCTAAAAAAAAATCCAACACAGTTATTATTTCAGATACATTTCTATATCTATGTCCTTATACAGTTTAAATCAAACTATTGATTCCGAGAGAAAAAAAATAGAAAGATCACCACTTACTTTATTCTGATGCATCTTCTTCTTGGAACGTGGACATGGCCGCTCATACTTATGGTCGTGCAAGTCTGCTGATGGAAAGGTTGGATCATTCATTTGTAAAGTTATGTTTCACAAAGTATAACATCACATAATGTATATCTTTTACATATACTACCTGTATTACATTCAATTTACATGCAAGATCCTGCAGGTTTATCCTTCTAAATAATCTTTTCCGAAATTACCTGTTTTCCTTTTGATCCCAGTACGTCTACCAGTTTCACTCACTGATAGGAGGCGCCTGGCAATATCTCCTGGGGTGTTGTAGGTACCTTTCATCTTGTTCACTAAAACACCAAACCAATAATTGGCATGAGAAAAATTTCACTCTTACATCAAAGGCTTGATGAAAGACAATCAAAAAAAGTAAGATGAATAGATAATATAACTGGACATCATTCTATGCTGCCTTAAACTAAAATTTGTGTGTGTGTGTGTGTGTTTGAGTGCATGTGTATGTTTGAGTGCATGTGTATATGTGTGTGTGTGTGTGTGTGTGTGTGGTTTGTGTGTGTGTGTTGTGTGTTGTGTGTGGTGTGTGTGTGTGTGTGTGTTGTGTGTGGTGCATGTGTGCGTGCGCGTGTGTGTGTGTGTGTGTGTGTCGGTGTGTGCGTGTGGCGTGCATGTGCGTGTGCGTGTGTGTGGTGTGTTGTGTAGGTGCTGTGTGTGTGCGTGTTGTGTTGTGTGTGGTGTGTGTGGGTGTGTGCTGCAGTGGTGTGTGTGTGTGTGGTGTGTGTGTGTGTGTGCGATGTGTGTGTGTGGTGTGTGTGTGTGTGTGTTGTGTGTGTGCGTGTGTGTTGTGTGCATGTGTGTGTGTGCTGTGTGTGGTGTGCTAATGTGTGTGTGTGTGTGTGCATGTGTGTGTGTGGTGTGTCATGTGTGTGTGTCATGTGTGTGTGTATGCAGTGTGTGTGTGTGTGTGTGTGTGGTGTGGTGTGTGTGTTGTGTGTATGTGTGTGTGGTGTGTGGTGCTTGTGTGCTGTGTGTGGCGGTTGCATGGTGTGTTGTGTGTGTTGTTTGGCATGTGTGTGTGCGTGTGTGGTGTGTATGTGTTGTGTGTGTGTGGTTGTGTATTGTGTTGTGTGGTGTTGTGTGTGTGTGTGGTGTGTGTGTGTGTGGGTGTTGTGTTGGTGTGGGTGATGATGGTGGAGTGTGGTGGGTGTGCATTGTGGTGTGTGTTGGTGTGCATGTGTTTGTGGTGTGTGGTGTTAGGTAGTGGCGGGTGGGTGTGTGTGTGTGTATGCCTATGTGGATGGTGGGGTTGTGTTCTATGGTGTATCTGTTGGGGTGTGGTGTGGATTAGGGTGGGTGTGTGGTGTATGCATTGTGTGTGTGATGTAATGGCATGATGTCGTGTGTTTGTGTTGCATGTTGTGTGTGTTGTTGTGTGCGGTATGCATGTGTGTGTGTGTATGCTGTGTGTGTGTGTGTGTGGTATGCATGTGTGTGTGTCTGCAATTGTGTGTGTGGTATGAGCATGTGTTGTGTGGTGTGATGCACATGGTTTGTGTATGCACGCCGTGTGTGTGTTGGCCACGTTGTGTGTGTAATGCGACGTGTGTTATGCGACGTTGTGTGGTGTAATGCCGTTGTGGTGGTGGGTGGATTGGCTGGTGTGTGTCAGCGAGATGTGTGAATATGTGTGTGTATATGAGCATTGTTGTGATGTGTGTGTTATTGTGTATGTGTGTGTGGGTGTTGGAGCGTGTGTTGTGTTGTGTGCAATGTTGTGTTGTGGCACGTGTTGTTGTGGTGCGATGTGTGTGTGTGTGGCGAGTGTGTGTTGGTCAGCGTGTGTGTGTGCACGTGTGTGGGTGCACGTGCGTGTTGTGTGGTCAGTGCGTGTCAGTATTCTGTGTGTTAATGGTGCGTGTTGTGTTAATGTGCGTGTGTGTGTCAGCGTGTGCAATGCGTTGTGTGTCGGTCGTGGTGTGTTGTGTTTAGTGTGTGTGCTGTGTGTCTATGTGTGTGCGTGGTGTCTGATGTGTGTGTGCCGTGTTGTCTGTTGTGGTGTGTGTGTCTATGTGTGGTGTGTGTGTGATGTCTATGGATGTGTGTGGTGGTTGTGGCTATGTGTGTCGTGTCGTGTGTCTATGTGTGTGTGGGTGTTTGTCTGTGTGGCGTGGTGCTGTGTGGTTGTGTCTGTGATGCGTGATGTGTGTTTGTGGTCGGTGTGTCTTGGTGGTGCGTGTGTGTTCTGTGTGGGGTGTGTGTTCTGTGTGCATGTGTGGGTGCTGTGGTGGCTCGTGTTGTGATGCATGTCTGTGTGCGTATGGTGGGTGTGTGTGTTGTGTGTTTGTGCTGTGGTGGGATGTGTGTGGTGTGTGTGATGCTGTGTGTGGGTGTGTTGTGTGGTGTGGTAGAGTGTGGTGGTTTGGTGTGTGTGTGTTGGTCTAACGCGTGTGAGGGCGTGTCGTGGGTGTGTGTGTGTGTGTGTGTTGGTGTGTGTGTGTTGTTGTGTGGTGTGTGGGTGTGTTGTGTGTGGGTTTGTGTGTTTGGTGTGTGTGTGTGTGTGTGCACGTGCATGTTGGTGTGTGCATGTGGGTTGTTTGATGTCGTGGTATGCATTGGTGTGTAATGGCATTGTAGGTGTGTGTAGATGCGATGGTGGTGTGTGTAGTTGGCGATTGTGGTTGTGTAGTGCGATGTGTGTGTGTGTGAATTGAATGTGTCTGGTGTGGTTGTGTGGTGATTTGGTGGTGTTGTTGTGCATGTGTGTGTGGTGTATATGCCAGTGTGGTGGTTTGCTATGTGTGTGTATGCGAGCGTGTGTGTATGTGGCGATGCGCGCGTGTCGTGGCGTGGTGTGTATGGCACGGTGTGTGTTTGTAGCACGTGTGTGTATGCAGGTGTCGTGTATTGGTCAACGTGTGTGGGTTGTATGACGTGTGTGTGTTATTGCACGTGTGTGGTTGATCATGTGTGTGTGTTTTGTGTTTGTGTGGTGTTCTATATGTGTCTATTATTGCTTATGTGTGTATGTGTGTTGTGGTGTGTGTTATGTGTTTCGTGTATTTGTGTGTGTGTGTGTGTGCATGCATTGTAGGTCAGGAGTGTGGTGTGCACAGGCTGTGTGGTGATGTGCGGCGTGTGTGTGATGCATTGTGTGGTGTGTGTATGCATGTGTGTGTGTGTGGTGAATGTGGTGGTGTTGTGGTGCATGTGATGTTGGTGTGATTCGTGTGTGTGATTGCCAGTGTGGTGTTTGTATGCACGATGTTGTGGTGATTGCGAGGGTGTGTGTGGTGATGCGGAGAGCGCGGGTGTGTGGGGGCGTAGCCACGGTGTGTGGTGATGCACGTTTGGTTTGTGTGTTGGGGTAGCTAGCGTGTGTGTGTTATCAGCGTGGTGTGTGGTATGCATATTGTGTGTATGCTCTCATGGTGTGGTGGTGGTTGTGTGTTTGTGTTGTGTCTAGTTAAGGCGTGGGTTGTCTATATGGTGTGTATGTGTGTCTGTGTTTGTGTGTGTGTAGTGGTGTTTGTGTTTGTGGTGTGTGTGTTGTGTGGCAATGCATGTGTGTGCACGCTGTGTGGTGTGCACGTGCTGGCGTGGGTGGTCGTGTGCGGCACGTGGTTGTGTGATGATGTGTGTGCAAGTGTGTGGTTGTGGGTGGCGCACGTGTTAGTGTGTGGCACGTGCGTGTTGTGTCAGTGTGTGGATGGTATGTGCGTGTGTGTGTGGTGTGGTGTCAAGTATGTGCGTGTGTGTTAGTGTGATGTGTGTGTGTGTGTGCCAGCGTGTGCACGTGTGTCAGTGGGTGTGGGTGAGTGTTATGTGTGTGCGTGGTGTGGTCAGTATGTGTGTGCGTGTTGTGTGCTGCTGTGTGTGGCGTGTGTGTGCTCTGTGTGTGCGTGTGTGTGCGTGTGTGTGCTCTGTGTGTGGCTGTCTGTGTGCGTATGTGCATTTGCGTGTGGGTGTGTCTGCATGCTGTCTGCTCGCTTGCTGCGCGCTCCGTTTGTGTGCGTGTGTGTCTGTGTGTGTGTGTGGGTTGTGTGTGTGGTGTGTTGTGTGTTGTGTGTGGTGTGTGTGTGTGTGTGTGTGTGTGTGTGTGTGTGTGTGTGCGTGCGTGCGTGCGTGCGGTGTGTGTGTGTGTGTGTGCGTGTGTGTGTGCGTGTGTGTGCGTGTGTGTGCGTGTGTGGTGCGTGTGTGTATGTGTGTGGTGTGTGTGAGTGTGTGTGTGTGTGTGTGTGTGTCCTGTGAGTGTGTGTGTCTGTGAGTGTGTGTGTCTCTGAGTGTGTGTCTGTGAGTGTGTGTCTGTGAGTGTTCTGTGGTGTGCGTGCGTGTAGAATGTGTGTGTGTGTGCATGTGCATGTGTGTGTGCATGTGTGTGGTGATGAGTGTGTGCATGTGGTGTGTGCGTGTGCATGCGTGTGGCATGCGTGTGTGCATTGTTGTGCATGCGTTGTGCAGTGCATGTGCATGCGTGTTGTGTTGCGTGGTGCATGCATGTGTCTGTGTGTCTGTGTGCATGTGTGTCTGTGTGCATGGTGTGTCTGTGTGCATGTGTGTGTCTGTGTGTGATGTGTGTCTGTGTGTGCTGTGTGTCTGTGTGCATGTGTGTCTGTGTGCGATAGTGTGTCTGTGGTGCGTGTGTTGTGTGGTGTGCAGTGGTGTGTCTGGTGTGCATGTTGTGTACTGGTGTGGTGTGGTGTCTGTGTTGCGGTGGTGTCTGTGTGCGTGGGTGTCTGTGGTGCAGATGTGTTGTGTGGGGTGTGTTGTGTGGTGTGTGCTGGTGGATGTTGTCTTGTGTGCATGGTGTGTCTTGTGGTGCTGTGTGTCTGGTGTGCATGGTGTGTTGGTGTGCCGTGTGTTTTGTGTGCATGTGTGTTGGTACGGTGTGATCGTGGCGTGTGTGTGTGTGTGTTGTGTGTGTGTGTGTGTTGGTGTGTTGTGTGTTGTGGTGTGTTGTGTGTGTGTGTGGGTGTGGTGGTGCTGTGGGTTGTGTGTTGTGTGGTGTGTGCTACTGATGTGATACTGTGTTGTAGTGAGGAATGATCCTGCGAATTTTCATAGCCTTGAAATGGGTGGTTGGCGCGAGGTCAAGCGTGCTTGGACTCTCGGTTGGTTTAGCTGCATCAGAGGTTCGTGATAACTGGTTCCTTGTGGTTCAGATCTCTGTTGTGCAGCATGTCAAGATGCAATATCTCTGCTTAATCAGCTTACTAACTAGTAGCCGTCCTTCATACTCTCGATCTGATGTGGTTCTTGGATGTCGCAGGCGTCATGAATTCAATCTTTTTTCTTTAACATGCCATGTGATGGCCTGTGGCGGTAGTTGTTTATGTCATCCTTTGCACATGAATCTTCATAGAATGGGGTGTGTCTTTACCTGCAACTTTTGAAGCAGACTGTTGGCAGGAACTTTCTTCTGGTTTCCTGGGAGAAGTTTCAGCTTCCATTTTCCTGATAACTACTTCAGTCTGAGAATCACTAACAGATGGTATTGGTAATTTATAAGAATCTAAAGTTTTACAACTCTGAACACCCGATTCAACGGTTGTAAGCTCTCCTGCTACTGTATTCTGACTCTGAACCCCGTTCGAAGGGTTTGAAGGGTCTCCTGCGTACGTTGTAATTCTGATCCGTTTGAATGTCTGTGAAGTCACACCAATGATTGATGTTTTGAAGGGGGGAATGGGGGATCATTGTTTTGCCCTCTTTACTGTAAGTTACTACAACGGGTGACTGTGGTTGAGATACTGGCTTCTGCTGAGTTGTTGATTTTAATTCCATCTCTGGAGTGCTGTGACCAAGGCAAATAAAATCTCCACTTGCAGTACAACTGCAACCAGCACTGTCTTGTGTAGTAGCAGTATTTCCTTTTTTTGAGTCCTCTTGCATTTTTTTGGGGTGGCTGCCCTTCTCAGGGGACTGGATAAGCAAGTTCTCTGAAGCATAGTTAGATTCTCTCATCTTTTGAAGTAGGACTTTTTCTCCTATACCAATCATTTCTCCACCATGGCCTCTCTTCTTTGATGCTAATTTGACAAGATACTCTCCAGTGGCATCGTAAGTATATGAAGAAAGCTCTCCTGTAGCTTCCCGGATAAAATATTTGACTGCATTTCCATGGAACAGCATACCGTCTGTTGTGGATGCTGAGCTCAGTACAGCAGATATAGGATGGGAGGTGTTCGCCAGAATGAGGATGGTAAAGGTTGCCTTTTGTTTTCTGAAAGACTCCCCAGTTCATTGCCAACCATACAACCGACGTTGATAGCTTGCCATTCGTTTGACACCTTAAGGGTAACGAGGGAGTGAGTTGTTTGTGAGCATTTGAGATGGTTGAGCTAGAATTATTTTTCGTGTCGGATGTGACGGAAGGCTAGCCAATTCATCTTGACACTGTTTCCTTAAAACTGAGTGTCGCAAGATCAAGCTGGCAGACTCCAATGATATAGCGATTGCTTTTTGGGGTAGGTAGCGGGAACTGGGACGAATCTTTTCGTAGTTTGGATCTATCAGAATAATGTTTTTAGATATGCTTGTGGAGCTTGAGACTTGACTACATTTAAGAGATAATGATGTAGGCGTTGGTATTGTGTCTGGTGTCGATCTTGTTCGCTTTTGGGGGATTGGGATTCGTGATTTATCCTTCTTCTGGGTTCGCTTGGCTTAGGGCATGAATTCTCGGTCTTGATAGGCTAAGATCTGATATTGGGCTCCTTTTGTCATGTTATGTTGTGGTGTGTGTGTGACATCTGAGCTGTAAGGGTGGGATATTCAAGCATTCTTTACTGAGCTGTCTTGTTGGTGTGTGTTCGGTGGATGAGTCGAATGAGTGAAGGTTTGGTTTTATTGGAAGGGTGATGTGTTTTTAACTAGTGTTACCTTTATGGTTGTTGTGGGTGGTGCCGGTTCTTTTAGATTGTTGTCTTGAGTCAAATCTTTTACTGTATTGTGTTGGGCTTGTTACCTGCAGGAAAATAATAATCATATCTTGTGCTGGGATATTGAGGGTAGGTGCTTGAGATAGTGGAGCACCGACGAAGCACTGTTGTCTGGTGCAGTTTCACACCAAGAGACTTAACTGATGTAGTGGATGGTACAATCATTATCATGAAGGTGTAGTTTAGGAACATTCCGGCCTGACAATGTGAAACTTTCTGATCTTGGGATGAGTTTTAACTCGGTGTTATAGGTAAGATATTTGAAGCTTGTCCCAATGACTCTACATCATCAGAATCATCACAGTCTGGTTTTTTGAGGTGATTTGTCCTTTCCCAAACGTACTAGCTAGGGTAGGTGTATTGATAGTCTATTATCCATCTTATTTAGTAGATTAATACGGAATTGTGTGGGGATACCTGGAGTGTTAGGGAGATGCTATGTGTATACGCTGGTTTGTTTCTAATGTGTTAGGGATGCCGGTTAGAGATTTCGGAGTTGTGGTCTTGAGAAGGTTGGAGTAAACAGGAACTTCTTCTTTCGTGTTTTTCTTGTCTGTGGGCCTTTTTCTCGCGTGAGGCTAGGTAGGGAGTCGAGTAAGGGTGTATGGCAATGGCTGGTGGGGTAGCGATGTCAGTTGGTGGGTTCTGATGATGGTGTGTGGTGAGAGAGGGGAGGGTTTAGGCGGCCGTGTGGGAGAGGGGTGTTGGTGTGGTTTTGTTTATGTGTGGGGTGATGTGGGGTCGTTGCTGGCTGAGTGTGTGTGGGTGTACTAATGAGGTATGTTGGTGGTTCCTCTGTCCTATTGGTGTTCCCGGATGTGGTGCATGGTGTGTGTTGTCCTGTCTGATGGGAAGTGAAGTTACATCTTCATTTACTACAAGGGCTTGCGCTCCCTGTACAACACCTGAAGATGGTGTTTTATTGGGGGGTGACATGAATAACATTCGTGATGGTCCACTACTACCAGAAGGCATCAGAACCATTTTTGACATTCCACTTGAACTGACAGGTATATACAACATTCTATGATTAACTGTACTTGTTGATGCCATTCTTGGCTGCAAAGTTGGGCTAATGCCTTTTCCGTGAGTGACCTGAATACGAGGCCGAAACATTGTACTTCCTGGGGAAGTGGGTGACGAGAGATTGATCTTTTTGGTATTAAGAGGCGATACTAATTTTTCTTCTTCTGTGATCAAAGAGGGATTTTCAATTTGAACTAGAATGGGAGAAGAGCCTGTATCATTACTAGAAGTTACAGTATGCAATGTTTTTGAGTCCTCTGCACTACCTGGCAAAGATATCACAGGATTTGGTGAACATAATGATGATGAAGTTGATGCTACACTAATCAGTGTTGAACATTTTGAAGATTGAACAAAAGGAGTTGATGTAACAATATTGTAATCTCCAAAAATACGATTGCTAGTCTGATTTATTTTGATAGTTTTCATTCCAGCTGGAGTAACAGAGGTATCTGCACTTGTTTTTTCTATGCTCTCTTTAGAAGGAATATCTATGGAGGGTTCTCTTATCGGTACTAGGTCTGGAAGAGCCTTAACTTTCTTCAAAGAACTCGTATCAGTGGTCATTTGCTTCTTCTGAAGCCCAGCCTCAACCTCAGGTGTATGAGGGGTCTCATCTCCTTCCAAAGACACCAAACTCTTTTCTAGGTCTTGGGAGACATCCTCCTTTGTGGTTCTAGTAGGAAGGGTTTCATTTATGCTAACAGCAGTATCTTTCAAGTCCATAAGGTCAGCAATGCTGGCATCAGAGGCACTATGAACACTGGCTATGAGAGGAAGACTGCCCTCCCAAGCCCCTCCTTCTTTTTCTCCAGTATCCTCCCCATTGTTTTCTGAGTCAGCCAAAATGACAATATCTGGTTTTTCCTTAGCCTTCTCTTTCTGCCTCTCTTCCTCTTCCAAGTCAACAACTTGTGGCACAGGCACCCCAGACTTTGCTTTGGATTTCTGCTCAGCCGACTTTGTGGTGACGTAAGGACCTTTCTTTTGTACAACACCTACAATCTCCCACTTTGCATTACCATCGCATCTAATCATTACGAACCTGAAAGGCATGAAAAAAATTAATCAAGTGAAATAATCCAAATTATCATCAGAGAGGAAGAGAGGGAGAGGCAGAGAGGGAGGGAGGGAGAGAGGGAGGAGTAGAGGAGCGGAGAGGAGGAGAAGGAGGAGGAGAAGGGAGGAGGAGAGAGGAGGGAGGAGGAGACGGAGAGGAGGAGAGGAGGATGAGAGAGGAGCTAAGAGGAGAGAGGAAAGAGAAGAGAAGGAGATGAGAAGAATGAGAGAGAGAAGATGAGAGAGAAAAGAGAGACCGAGAGAGAAGACGAGAAGAGATGAGACTGATAACGAGACGAGGAGAGGAGAGGAGAGGAGCGGGAAGGGAGAGAGAGGGAGATGGAACAGAGGAGAAGGAAGGGAGAAGAGAAGAGCAAGAGAGAAGAGAGAGAGACGTGGAGAAATAGAACACAACAATGACACGAATCTCGAAGCAAAGAGAGGAGCTGAAGAGAGATCGATAAGATGAGAGAGATCGAAGAAAGAGGAGAGAGACCGAGAGAGAGGACGAGAAGAGGCAGAGAGAGAGGAGTGGAGAGAGAGAGGAAAGAGAGACAATAGAGAGAGAGAGAGAGAGAGACAGCAGCGGACGGACGCAGAGACGAGAGAAGAGAAGATAAAAGAAATGAGCAGAGAGAGAGGAGAAAGAAGATAAGAAGAAGAGAGAGAGAAAAGAAGAAGAGGAGAAAGAGTCTCCGAGAAAGACGAGAAAGAGAGAGAGAGAGAGAGAGAGAAAGAGAGAGAGGAGACCGCAGATGAGAGGAAGAGAGAGGAGACGCAGAGCGAGAGGAGAGGGAGAGGAGAGGAGACAAGGGAGAGAGACGAGGAAGTTCGATGAGAGAGGGAGAGCGGGAGAGGAGAGCAGAGAGGACGAGAGAAGAGAGAGAGGAAGAGAGGAGAGGGGAGGGAAGGACCTGGAAGAGCGGAAGAAAGAGAGAAGAGAGAGAAAGACTGAGAGAGAGAAGAGAGAGAGAACGAGAGGAGAGAGAGAGAGAACGATGAGAGAGAGAAGAAGGGGAAGAGGAGAGAGGGACAGACGAGGGAAGAAGGGAGAGAGTGTGAGAGAGGGAGAGAGGGAGAGAGGGAAGAGAGGCAGGAGGAGGGAGGCATAGGGAGGAGGGAGGAGGAGGAATATAAGAAGGAGAGAGAGAGAAGTAGGAGAAGACAGAGAGAGGGATGCAGAGAGAGAGACGGTAAAGCGAGGAGAGAGAAGGAAGAGGGAGGGAGGAGAAGAGGAGGGCAGGGAGAGAGAAGAGGAGGATGGAGAGAGAAGGAAGGAGAGAGGAGAGAGAAGAGGAGGGAGAGAGAGAAGGAGGGGAGGAGAAGAAGGAGGGAGGGAGAGAAAAGAGGGAGCGTGAGAAGAGAGGAGGAGAGATGAGGGAGGGAGGAGAGAAAGGACGAGGAGGAGAAGAAGGAGGAGGAGAGAGAAGATGGAGGCGAGGAAGATGAGGAGAGGAGAGAAACAGGAGCAGGGAGGAGAGAGAAGAGGGAGGAGGAGAGGAGGAAAGAAGAGAGGGAGGAGAGAGGAGCGAGGAGAAAAAGAGATGAAGGGAGGGAGGAAGGAAGAAGAAGGAGGAGGGGAGGAAAGAGAGAGAGGAAGAGGAGGGAGGAGCGAGAAGAGAAGAGAGGAGGGAGGAGAAGAAGGAGAGGGACAGAGATGAGAGAGAGAGGGGAGGGAGAGGAAGGAGAGGAGTGGGGAGAGAAAGAGAGAAAGAGAGAGAAGAGAGAGAGAGAGAGAGAGAGAGAGAGAAGAGAGAGAGGAGAAGAGAGAGAGAGAGAGAGAGAGAGAGAGAGAGAGAGAGAGAGAGAGCAAATGAAATTAAGAAGACGAGTTAGGGAAAAAAGGGAAAAGGAATAACATGATGACTAATAGAAGACTAACCTTGGGCGTGAAACAGAGTGTGGTGGAGGAAGAATATTCCCGCATATTAGGTCCCACATCAAGGTTATTGTTGCTAATCATGCTGTGAATTCTCTGCATCACTCGCATTGACTCAATACTGTCTACAGTAGCTATTATGCACCTGTAATTTATAATAAGAATCATAATAACAACAACAATAATAAAAAACAAAAACAATAGCAATCATATAAAAATATTCCTATGATCTACATATTTTCAAACATTTACACATTATATCACGTATATTACATATACATCAAATTAAAATAAATAAATAAATAACAATGAATAAAGCAAACTATAACTAATATAACTAATATTGATTATATATAGATAGCTATAGATACTCTACCCTATATTATATATCTTATATATTAAGTATTACCGTACTACTACTAATAACCACTACCTATACTATACATATAATATAAAATTACTATACATATATATAATTACCAAGACTCAGTTCATACCATCATATATAACATACGCCCTAAGATACATTATATATAATATATTACCACTTATATACTATATATACGCTATTTAACCTACTAGAAATAACATCGACCAGGCCACACGAACTCAGTATAACATATAAATTACATAATACAATATTATATACATATATATAGATACATACAGCACAGTGGGTCCGATCATACTACAGTTAAGAAGACGATATCTTTAATGCATATACGCATCTTTTTTTCGCACATCTACATGATGCATAGACTATCTAACTAGCAGTCTCAGGTACCACTGTCATCACAACATTCCACTTATCCTGATTGCAGGCACATATGTGCCTTAACTCATGTACTACTCCAACACAGCGCCACACTTACATACAGTCACATGCATCCGTCAATTAATATTCCTCATCAACACATATATACGCTACTAGTATCATACTTATTAATACTTTATCAGGAGAGCGATCATATAGAACGAATATATTATATATTTACATTAACATATATATTATTCAAAAATTCCAGTATACATATATATATGCTTATTATAT